TGCAGTAGTGACAATTGCCGTTGAACCGGTGCAAGTCCTTGCCCTCCGGCTCATGCTTCCTATTGGATCCACCATGACGTACACCGTGTTTTCCACGGCCCCGGCCATAATTGCCTTGCCCAGCGTACCTCTGTCGGCCACCGCGGCCGCGCCCTCCTTGGGCGTAGTAGGCTTCCTCGCGCTCCATGGGCACATCTGGCATGCACATCACTGCCCTCTTGAGGATGGTCCAAAAAGTCACCATCTTCTTCTTGCTGTCATCCATGGTTTCCATCTTGTCCTCCACGTAGACACGCGCTTGTGTGGGCAGGTTGCTTACCAACTTCTTGACCGTGTCCTCCTCGACAAACCTGCTGCTCATCCGCAGCGTCGACACTGTCAGGTCAATCTTGCGTCGGTAGTTGCTCAGATCATGTTGACTCTGCAGCTTCGTGGTGACCAAATCAGCTTCGGCTTGCGCAAACACGCTCTCCAGCGCCTCCAGATCGATGTCAGTTCGATCAATCCAGTCGTGTAGTATCATTCCACGACCATGGACGCTCTTGATTTCCTTCCTAAGGCCACTCAAGACTAAGCGAGCTGTTCCGGTGAGACACGTCGAAAGTGCGACAATAACCACACTATTGATTTCCTTGAGCTTCTTGACGTTGTCCTTCGGGCCCGGCCCGTGCTTCTCCATAATGGCAGCGGTTTGCAAATCCTCCTCCTCCAGGCTCTTGAGCTCTGGCAGGTACGGGACATCGTAGCTGTCACAAACGGCGTTGATGACCTCGCGCAGCTCGATCAACTTCATCGTGTCATGGCCATCATACTGAGGCCAGCGCTCCGACTGTCGGCGGATGCTCTTCACGATCTCCGGCAACTCCTCGAGCGCCATGTTCTCGATGTACTCCTCGACACCGGTTTTTCCTTTGGGGAACTCGCACTCAAATGGGAAGCACCCAAGTCTTCAGCTCCTTGACGCAGTGTCCACGCAGTCGAGGCCCATAACCTATTGAAAGACGATTTGAGCTGAGACAGTAAAGCGGTTCAATTGCACTTCTCTCACAGGAGAGAACGATAGAAAACAGGAAGGGAAATATCCAAAAGAAAATGCCACTCACGGTCAGCGGGACCGTACTTATAATCCGGTGGCTAAACACACCCAGAGTGTACGAGAGGGTTCCTCGACGGGCGGCGGCAGCTGCACATCGTCGAGTACATTGATGCAATCCTTCCAGAGGGATCTGGCAGGTGGTCGATGCTTGCACTCCAATACAAGCCCTACCATGAGTACCCCCCTCGAAGCGGCTCAAACAAAGCAAACGGCGCGCCGCAACACCAAATGGCAGCCTGCCCCCTGGTCACAATTTACGGCGTACGTCACAACAAAGCTCACCTGGCATTCTTCACACGCATTCGGTGCTCACTTTGGAGTCCTCATCCACCGTCGGCCACCCTGTGACCTGCCAGCCCCACCATCAGTACCCCCCTTTAACCGGCCAAAAAACAACCAAAGGCGCGCCTTGGCTCCTCAGCCAACACCAAATGGCAGCCGGGCCTCTGGTCACATTTTACAGGGCACGTCAAAACAAAGCTCATCTCGCATTCTTCACACGCCGTCAGTGCTCACCGTGGAGTCCTCATCCACCGTCGGCCGCCCTGTGACCCGCGAGCCCCATCATTAAAACTAAACTCAACGGACAAAAAAAAAACCAAAGGCGCGCCTTGGCTCCTCGGCCAACACCAAATGGCAGCCGGGCCCCTGGTCACACATTTTGGCACACATCAAAACAAAGCTCACCTCGCATTCTTGACACGCTTGCGCTGCTCACCATGGCGTCCTCATCCACCGTTGGCCGCCCTGTCACCCGCCAGCCTCATCATTAGCGCCCCCCTCAAGGGCCAAACGAGAAAAAAGGCGCGCCTTGGCTCCTCGGCCAACACCAAATGGCAGCCGGCCTCTTGGTCACAATTTTCGGCACACATCAAAGCAAAGCTCACCTCGCATTCTTCGCACGCTTCCGCTGCTCAATGGGAAGTATTCATCCACCTTTGGCCGCCCTGTGACACGTCAGCCCCATCCTTAGAACCCCCCTGAACGGCCAAAAAAAAAAAAAAAAGCAAAAGGCGCGACTTGGCTCCTCAACCAACACCAAATGGCAGCCGGGCCTGTGGTCATAATTTTCGGCGCACGTCAAAACAAAGCCCACCTCGCATTCTTCACACACTTGCACTGCTCACTATGGAGTCCTTATCCACCGTTGGCCGCCCTGTGACCCGACAGCCCCATCATTAGTACCCCCCTCAAATCGGCTCAATCAAGAAAAAAGGCGCGCTCCTCAGCCAACACCAAATGGCTGCCGGCCTCCTGGTCACAGTTTTCGGCGCACGTCAAAACAAAGCTCACCACGCATTCTTCGCACGCTTTCAGTGCTCAATGGGAAGTATTCATCCACCTGTGGCTACCCTGTGACACGACAGCCCCACCATTAGCACCCCCCCTCAAAGTAGTTCAAACCAAGAGAAAAAAAAAAGGCGCGCCTCAACACCAAATGGCAGCCGGGCCAGTGGTCACAATTTTCGGCGCACGTCAAAACAAAGCTTACCTCGCATTCTTCACACGCTTTCGCTCCTCACTGTGGAGTCCTCATCCACCGTTGGCCAGCCTGTGACACAGCACTACCGTCGGAAACGCCGGCGTTTCAAAAATCGCAAAAATCACTCTTGGTTTCGTTTCTGGCAGCGGGCAACATGGATAGCATTTTCAAAAGCGGGCCTAAGATCGGTTTCTCACCTGCATTTGAGCGGGAGTGCTTCGTGCCGGATCTGACCAGGCTCCGTGGCTCTTGGGCCTAGCTAGCGCGTCCATCAGCGCACGAGCGGTTGCGGCGTTCATGGGTCAGATCGAGGAATTGTCTTGACAACAAATGGCAGCCCAACACGAGATCAGCAAGAATGGTCCATCCACGACGGTCACGCGGCAATGTCGTTTGGCCACCCGTTCATCCATGACGTCGCTTGCACCTCGACAGCACTTGCCCGTCGCGCCACAACGACGACAACGCACCACCAGGAGCGCGCGCGCGCCCCGCCCATGGCCCGCTTCATCGTGGCGCGCGTCAGTGAGAAAAAAAAAAAAAAATGAAGTCAACTGCAAAGGGAAGGATATAGAGGCAAGAGGTTAATGCAGCAAAGTTTCAATTAATTGAAGCTGATCATGGCCATTCCAAGTAAAAAGATGCAGTCTATTCAGCAGTTATTGAAGATACAAAAGATGATGACATTCTGACATTCGGTCCTGTGTTGCCGACTTGGGCTTCCGCCGCACTGGGGAGCAGGATCCTCGCACTTTCAAACACAAATTCCACAAGACGCCAATGCCCATCCCCTGGAGGTAGACCAGGAACGGGCGAGTACAGCCACTTGACAAACAAGTCGCGCGTTTTTAAATCCTTCAATGTCTGTACCCTCAAGTTGTAGCCCATCCGTTTTGCCAGGTCGCGCAGCCCCGAATGACAGTCCGAATAAAGGAGGAGACAGCTCAGGCCCGAATCCAGTCCTTGAGACTGCCTGCAACGGTGATTCCATGTATCCCATCCACGAATCATCCTTGGCATTCCACAAGCGTAGCAACACGTTTCGTCGGGGTATACGAGGCGCACGGAACATTTTTTAAGTCTTGTCTCGTGTCCTTCGAAGTGACACCGCTTGCAACCACGATTAGATACGCATTGATGCTCGGCCTTCAGGACGGGTTTCGCCTGTCGAATAGTACATCGCATGCAATAATCATCCATCAACTTCAGAACGCCAATAAACTTGTCAGCCGCCGCGTAGTTCATCAGATATTTTTTTTTGTCCCCGATTTCGGCCGAAATATTGGCGCGACGTTGTGCCGATTCGGTGGCGTAGCCGCAGCAGATACCGGGGCTTCAGAGCGAGTGGTAGCAGTAGCGGCAATGGTAGCGGTGCGCGTGCCACTTGATGCTGCTCGTTTTGCTGCGGGAAGAGGCGACTCTGCTGCTTGCGCCGCTGTTGAAGAAGCAGCAGCTGTGCACGTGACATCCGATGCCGTTCGCTTGGATGTCTGCTTCCACATGCGCCACACTCAACGCTTGGGCAGCGCGCTGCTGGCGCGCAGCTATTGCTGGCTCCAGGCGCTGTGCTGTTTCTGCGCACACGTCACAAAGCGGCTGGCTGGCAGCAAAGCATGTCGGGGCGCGGGGATCTAGCAACTTGCCGAGCGCCCAGCTGCGGCACGCATTGCCCTCGACAAACTTTTCCATGCCTGGTGCTGGCCCACGTCTCACTGGTAGCCACAGCTCGGCAGTTCCTCCCTGTTTTCCGCGACCAGCCCGACCAAATGCCTAGCCCAAGCACATGTACACCATCAGCAAAACCAACAATTGGATATTTTTTCGTTTTTTTGTTTTTTTTGGTTTTCAAATCCATAAAGTCACACGACTGTTTGAGCAACAACGTACCTGGGCCAGCGTATAGATGTTGTAGCCGTTGCCATACCACAGCACGTGGCGAATGGTGAGCAGATCCACACCCGTGCTGAGGCAGCTGGTGGTCACAATGACGTCGCATTCACCCCGTTGCCACTGTGCCACATGGTCCTTTTGCGCCTTCTCCTCCAGGTCGGTGTAGTAGGGCAAGGCCACGTAGCCGCGTGCGTGCAGCTGGTCGCACAGCACCTTCACCTCGTTCACAGTGTCACAAAAGACCATCATGTGCACACGCTCCCCATTCGCCTGACGCATGTTACGCTGCGTGTCCACAATGGCTTGCACATGCGACAAAAAGTTTAGCTGGTTTCCGTGAAGCGCACGCAGCTGCAGATCGCGACGCATCGTCTCCAGACGGTACACCTTGCCCCCGACTTGCTGACCCAGCTTTCGAAACAGATGCTCCTGGTCCCCGATGCAAAGTGTGCCCGTCAACGCCACGCGTTTGATGTTGGTCCATCCGCCAGAACCCACACTGGCTGCGACTTCGTTCAGCACATCTCGGTAGCTGGCATCCGAGATGAGTGTGTGCGCCTCGTCCATCACCACGGTGCGGATGCGCTGAAAGCAGACCTTCCCGTGCAGGGACTCAGATCCCACGCGGACAAACATGTCGGTCGTAACAATGAGCACGTCCAGGCCATCTGCCACCTGTGTAGAGGGACCAAGCCATCGCTGGGCACTGTGACCCGCGCCTTGAAATCGCCGCAGCAAATCGTTGGC